GAATATGTATCATGCTCATTATCTTAATTTGATTGATTCTAATAAAAAATTACGTGACACATAATAAAAGAACAATTTATTTCATAAATACATTTCTACTCTTTAAAGGTAACATTTAAGTCACATAAAATGTCTTCTCTATGATCCAATAGTAAAAATAAAATAAATTGACTAGACAGTCCACAAACATATCACAGAGCATAATTAAAGAGAAAAAACATTCTAAGGTATTTGTAATATTCAATAACAAGTTCAGACTTAACAAAATAATAATATTTTTCAAAGTATGTATAACGATACGCCCAAAAAGTGCATTTACATGATTGTATTTCAAAGAATAGATCACATTCTTTTGGAACAGAAATTATTTTACTGAAGTGAACACTGTCTTCTTCGCACAGAACGTGTAATATAGAAGTCCAGTACTCATTTTTATGTTTGAATAAATATTTATTATTTGATAATTGGTATTATAATATAGTATTAGATAATAACACGGTATATAATGCAAGAACCACAGCGCACTCTATTACGCAAAATATGCAATATATTGCGAATTAAGATGGCAAAGTGTTAAATCAAGGACAGCTATCTGACGCTTTTCGTAGACGCTTAGAGCTGTTAGTCAAGGAATGATCTCTAAGTACTGGTTTAATAGCGCCTAAATTTAGCGCAGCAATTACTTGTATAATTACTTATTACGAATTGTGTACAAAAATGCATTCCCTTCATTTTTGATAAAGGGAGAAGAAATATCCCAAATAATAACAAATTTTTAGTAAGTAATTACAACAGGCATAGAACGACGATTAAGACCATTTTTCACAACATTTATTAAAGAAGCACATTCAGATGAAATAAACTTAGCCAGTGTTCAAACTCTGACAGACGCTTATTTGAAAAATACTCTAAGTATTTTAGAGGAGATTGGCACGAAGTACCTTTTCTTCAAGAAGCAAAAATACTTTACAAAAATATTCATAATTTGAAAAAAAAAAAAAAAAAAAAAAAAAAAGAGGAAAAAATCTGAAGGAGTTCAGATTTTAACGGTCATCCAAAAGGGATTGTAAAGTTTTTGGTACTCTTCTACTATTATCGGGACTAGATTCACAAACGTATGTATACATGCATATATGTATCGATGTATGTGTTCATGCATGTACGTATGTATGTATGTGTGCGTATGCATATAAACATATACAAATACGTACATAAAAACATACACACCAGCATATGTGCATACATTTGTGAAACCTCGCAATCTACCAGTCTGTTGTTACTAGCTCTTGCTAACGCCTCTCTTTTTGTCTTTTTAGCTTTATTGTTAAACATAATTTTCTTCGCACTTATACCTTATACAATTCAAAAACAAAATTAAAAAATTTTAAAAGTAGCATACGAGTATATGTTTTGAATTCCCGATGCAGTGTTAAGTGTTGCCACATATTTTTTCCATTTTTCTCCCCAGTTCAGCGTTCAGTTTCTTAGCAAGATTACTTACAATTTTTTTTTTAAATCTTTTTATTATTAACGTTTTGTGTGTTAAATCTATTAATTAAATTTCACGTTCTTCTCCCTTACGCCACATAAAATTCGATTTAATAGTAAAATCACAAAATATTTAAAAGCAACATTTCTTTAGAATTTCCGATATACAGTGTCGCGGCCAGGAGATATAAATGCTTTATTCCATACAGTGTTGCCATTTCTCGCTTTCAAATCGTTGAATTTGTTAATCAAAAGTCAATTCATAAATCTAAATAAGTTTTGAAAATATGAAATATAAAATTAAAAATTCTGGCTTCCAGGTGCACATATTTGGGTGAAGGATTACATTATTCAAAATTGGATAGGTCTAGGTACCGTTGTTTTATCACAATGCGAGAAACATACATGCATTTATGCAGATTCTTCATTATTTAATTTCTTTAAATATAACACAGGGCGATCATATTTGGTGGCAACAATTTGAAAAGCTAAAGGGACATTTAGTTTTCGACGCAAAATGCCAAAAGGAAATTAATAGACCTTCTGGGCTAACGTCCTTTGGGGTAATAAAGAAAATTCCATTTGAAAGAGAAATCTGTTTGAAGAGAAGAAAAAGAATAATTCAAAACTGCGTATTATAAGTAGGTTAAGAAAAGATAAAATTTATTCACCGGGGAAATAAATTCTATTAAAAGGAAACGGTGGAGTATATCTTGATATAATCGAAAAGATTTAATGAAAATATCCAAACGTATGCTTGATTTAAAAGAATATTTTATGATAAGTTAGTGTATTCCACTTGAAGAAATATATTACTAGTAATAAAAAGAAAGAATATATAAGGTATTTTCTTCCGCTTTTCGTATGCCTTCGTGTTATAACTGAAAGCACACTCTCGTGTATTCAGGAGGTCCGAAGTTCGAATCCCGACGACAGTAATTTCTTCAGTTTCCTGACATCGAAAAAATTATAAATGGCTCTAGAAGTGGCGCCCGAACTAAAAGGTAGTGGATAATAAATCGTCACCACCAGGATTTCCCGATAGGGTCTCCTAATCCCCAATCGCCCTTTAAAATCAGATCGCATGCCTTCATGGTGTAATTGGAAGCATAGACGATGCATATTCGAGAGCTCCAGAATTCGAGCCCCGACGAAAGCATTGCATATTTTTTACGTTCTAGTATCGTTGTAACTTAATGACTTTACAAATATTCTACATTATTTAAAGTACAGCAGTTAAATAAACTTTTTTTACTTCTTAATAATAATAAAGTTTAATAATAATAATAATAATAATAAAAGCTACCAATTATTTAATCACAGTCTGAAACATCTAGCCATAGAATTTGAACTGTATTATTCGAATTCATTTAGCAGCGAGAAATATGAAAATTATGATAGAAAAATTATAAAAATGACATTACTCATATTTGTCATCAACATTCAACGCATGCCCTGTAACTGTGATATAGTTATCGAACATTTAAGAGATCACGCAATGAAACCATGCCAATTATCTCAATAATTCTATCTCATCTTTAATTATTAGCTTAATTTTTTTCCTTTTATATTCAATTTGTCGAATATTAAGCAAATGACAAGACAGATAATTATGAGCATTTTAACATTTTAACAAACGCTACACTTTATAAATTTGCATACACATTTCACAGTAATTTTTCCGGAGATATTTCGAAATAAGACTCTTGGAACGAAATGTAATCTTCTATTCGCCGAATAATTATCAGCGTTTCAACTTAGCAGTTCTGTTTGGAGTAGGTTATTAATACATTTTTCTAAACTGGGTAAAGTATTTAGATATTTCGATCTGTTAGGTTCGTGATGTCTATTTAAAGAATGCTTTCTGAATGGCATTGTTCAATCCCTGTTTCTCACTTTTAAAATTAAATATATTTTCTAAATTATTTTTCATTTATTATTCGCTTAAATTGTTAAAAAAAATTAATTAAAAACATTAAGAAATGTCTCATTTAACCTTCTGAAGAATCTATAGCTTATTTTTTTAATCTTTTTTTTTTTTTTTTTAATTCCATTTCCGATTAAAACGCTTAGAAGAATGTCTCATAGATGGCGCTGCTAATCCACTATTTAATTTTCGCTAATCACAGCTGCTTATTTTAGGCAATAAATTTTATTTATCAAATAATGATTCCCCTACACAGACGCACACAACTACTCAGTGACATTTTAATGAGCTTTTACCTATTCTATGGTCGCACAAATTTATTATTCTGTCAATTGGTTTTGAAAATTTAGAAACAGAAATAAAATACTTATGAAGTCATTAGCAAAGATTTGAATTTAAATAAAACTATTTTTACTTTACCACTACATGGATTACGTAATATGACTTAACCACTATATGGAATATGTATATCTGAATTAATTGAAGATTATAAACTCTCCTTCATAGATAATGCACGAGCGAAGATTGTAACACAGACTGATCGACAGTAACAAATTCGAAACTGATCAAGTACATATTTAAGTTTCTCAACCAAGATGCCTGCCTCCATAACCTTGCAATTTTTCTTAAGGAATTACATAAGGCACTACGAGAAGTAGTGGTAAATAGCCTTATCATATATATAAATATACATTTATTAAACTTTATCGACTAGTGTATTTATCGACTTATAGACTACGTAATTACAGCATTTTATTGATAGTAATTTATTAATTGTTAAACTCCATCAGTCACTTTAATCTATTAATAGCTGATTTTATTAATGACGATAATTTATTAATTTTTAACTTTTATCCATTAGAGTAGTTTTATTAAATTGCCTTAATTTACCTTGATTTATTATATGCCTTTTCAAACTATGAAGAAAACAATTCATCTGTCTTCGATGTCACGTGTAGCATACAATATTAGCTATTTACGTCTGTTTATTTATCTCTTTGTTTACTGTTTGTATTATATTTTGGAGCTCAAAGATAAAAAATACAATCGATAAAAAAATAATAAAATCTGAAATGTTTCAGATTTTAAATTACGTCCAAAGAGGCGTTTTAACGTTTTGCATGTTACCTTTATTTATTAAATATCATGTTCTTCGTATTGAAACCATAAAATTCAGTTCAACAGTAATATCGCAAAATAATTTTAAAATGAGCATACCCTTAGAATTTCTGATACAGAGTCTCGCCGTGTTTGAGATAATTTTTTCCCCGTACAATGTTGCCATGGATCGTTTTGAAATCGTTTAGGTTTTGATCAAAAATTCGTTAAGGTGCAATAAAATAGGAAATTGATAATAAAACAAATTTTAAATTAAGGCTTACGCATGCCCATATTCTATGAAAGATTACGTTATTCAAATTTTGATGGCTCTAGATACCGTCGTTTTATCATAATGCGAGAAACATACATACACCCAGGCAGATTCTTCATTATTTAATTTCTTTAAATATAACACAGGGCGATAATATTTGGTGGCAACAATTTGAAAAATGATTTGCCGTTTATAGTTTTCAACGCAAAATGCCAAAATGAAATTAATAGTCCTTCAGAACAAATTGCCCCCTCGAATAAAAAAATGCGATATATTTATTTATTATAATTATGAGAATTATATACGAATGCTATTATATATTTCTTGTAACGGTATTTCAAACAAGCAAATTTAAACTTTTTTTAGCGGGGTTTCTTACTAGTAAACTTCAGGAAAATGTAAATTATTTTTTGCTTAATTCTGCTACTGAAACGAAAATATGTTTTCCTTATGCATTTCTACAAATGAGCTTATATGTATGTTTCTAATGGGTTTCTTAGGATTTGTAAAAGAGAAAAAAATATTAAAAATGATATTTGATAATTTCTATGTAAGGATTTCAGGAGACATGGTTGTTGTTTCAAGAGTTTGGCAAAGTAAAAATTTAAACGCTACCATAAACATTTAAACCCTCAACATGCCCATTTTATTAAAAAATTATAAACTGTGCTTTTAGAGTTCTCTGACAGCAGATGGCAATTTCACAAATTCGCTGTTAAAAGAAACAAATAATTTTAATCAAATTCTTAGAAATGACAGTAATGACTTAAATTGCCATACATTTGGTTTTTAAATGACTATTACTTTCAGATATAGATTATAATATGGTATTAACATAATATCTTGGTAATATAGAAATATGTAATAATAGAACAATACAGTGATGTAGGAACTTTCGAGTTAAAAATGCAAAACTTGCAATAGAGCAACAAAATATACTATTAAAGAAGAGCAAAAGGGTTAACTGGTGTTGAAATTCTGGAAAATTACCTATTTCAGAATCCTACCTTTCTGTGGTCCAAAGCCAAATTCTGGAAAAGTACCTATTCCAGAATCTTATGTTTCCTACTTTTCCGTGGCGCAAAGCCAAATTCTGGAAACGCATTTAATTCAGAATCCTGTTTTTCCATGGTCCAAAACCAAATTCTAGAAAAGTACCTATTCCAGAATCGTATGTTTGGTATTTTTACGTGGTCCAAAACCAAATTCTGGAAAAGAACGTTTTCCAGAATCCTATGTTTCGTACTTTTCCGTGGTCCAAAGTCAAATTCTAGAAAAGCATTTATATCATAATCCTATTTTTCTATGGTCCAAAACCAAATCTGGAAAAGTACCTGTTTCAGTTTCCTATGTTTCCTATTTTTCCATGGTTCAAAGCCAAATTCTGGAAAAGCACCGAATTCAGAACCTTATTTTTTTCATGGTTCAAAGCCAAATTTTAGAAAATTAGATTTCAGAATCGTATTCATCTGTGGTCCAATGCTAAATTCTAAAAAATCACCTATTTTAGAATCGAATTTCAATGAATTTTCTTTCATTATTCATATTAGATTTTTCAAAGTGGTCAGAAATATATTAGCTCTTAATTTTAAAATCTGTGATTTTACTGATGCAACCGGATATATTTTAAGATATATTTTTCCAGATACTGAATATTACTGTAAGATTTCTTTAATTCTTGACGCAAAATAAAGTGTAATGAATTGAAAATTTTTGACATTTGATCACGAATTCCTATATACCATGGTGCGTACTATTAACATTCTAACACTTCTTAGAAAAAATCACTTATCTGTTGTCGTTCTTAATAATTAATACATACTCATTTGTGATACTTAGTATAGTAAATGTTTACTTTTAATATCTATTTAATTTTTAAAAATCAGCTATTGCACAAGCAACTTAGATTTGTCAGTGAGACGGTGAAAAACATTTTACTCCATAGGGAATCGAACTCAAGATCTACTTTCTTGCAGAAGAAAGCTTAACCATTGTTCTCTCAAAAGCGTTGAATGGTTCTTGCTCTAGTGCATGGGAAAATGTAATGCAAATGTAATACCGTTCTGAAAAGTTAAGGTTTAAATACTGGGCACGTTTGTAAACACCACTCACTTGTAATTATTAGATCAGTTCTCTTTCTGCTTCCCAATTGTGATAATTATAGAAGACTGATTATCCTTTTCTCATAACAGTTGAATTATTAATCACTATTTCTTTTGCATCTGGTAGCTGTATTTTTATTTTAACTTTTGGTATTTAGATAAGTTTACAACCTGCCTTGTTACATTTTGATTGTTTCTTGTCAGAAACGTTGAATTAATTTAGAATATTTTTAGATTAATTGAATGAACTTTAATTGCCTGGTAAGGAAAATAGGTTAATGATCTTTAAATCCTTTGAATCGCTCAGGATTTTCGAATAGGGTCTCAATGTCACGGAATTCGATGACCATGTTTTTCTTTCGTAGATAGGGGCATGAAAATCCTTGGATTCTATGCCCACATGTAACGATGAGAGTATTCTTACTAATTTTGGCACCTTTTTTCAGAAATTACAGTTACTTATATTCACTAATTAAAGTTCATACCAAATGGCAGCACCAAAAACAAAGATTATGTACACTTTCTTTACAATTACTAGATGTGTAATACACTTGAACTTCAAACTCTGTACAGAACGAAATTTTCATCCGAAAGTATCTATCTCGTAATGATGCCATCGGTCCTACTGATACCAAAGTAATATTTCATCACTCTGTAAGCATGCTAAGTTTTTACAATTGATAATGTATTTGTAATGTTTCGTTAGTAATTCCACATATGAAATTACATTCAAGTTAATAGAAAATTTCCCGGAAGTACGAGGAAATCATTTTTGAATACATTGCAATAAATTAAATCACACAAAAATCGCTTCAGATCGATGAGATGATAACACCTAAGAATGAGAGATTAGGAATAGATGACGGTATGATAGACTTCCTATCACAGTCTGTTCAGGTTCCTGTGGGGTCGAGGATCACAGGAAAACACAGCTATTGCTTTTCACCAGAGACCGAGGGGAGTCGTTATCAGATGCTGGTGCAGGTACGCCTCTCACCCTGGGGGCAACATGAATGACCTGGACATTCCCTCTCTTACTCTGGCGAGTAGGCAGACTGGGACGTGGCTGTATATGTGGGAGCTGGCAACCGAAATGTGAGGTGCTGAAAGCTGGAGAAATTTCAGCCAAATGGCAGGTATGACAGCGGTGTGAATTATGGTTAAAGTGAAAATATCCATTTGCCTGAAAAATATAGAAAAAATTATTGTGAAATGGTTAGACATGTTACAATCAACAGTGGACTCTCCAATGAAATTTTTAGTAATACAAGGTGTACCGTAAATGTTGCGACAAACTTCTAGGGAAGGTAGGGCACATTATAAGGATTAAGAATTGCATAGGAACCCATGCCCGGAAATGTCAGGGGTAAGTGGTAGCAGAAGTAGAAGATGGGAAAAAAGCAAGAGTGATTAATTTGAAACGTTTAATGGGCATGAATACAAACGGTGTACGACAGCTTGAATGTTAAAACAGATGCTCGAACTTTACATTATTAGACGCCAAGCATGCCTGACACTGACGGACCATTTCAATGCCGCGAATTATTTGATCTTTCTGGTGTAGGTTCTTCCAGATTTGCTTGACGATGTTCTACCAAATGTGAGACGCAAGATGTGATTCCAATATGATGGGGCGCTTGTTCATTTTGGACTGGATGTTCGAAGCCATTTGAACAGATCATTTCCGCAACGATGATTTGGGCGTGGTGGACAACGGTTCCCTGGTCCCCATGCTCATCGGATTTATCGAGCCTTGATTTCGTTTTGTGGGGAGCCATCAAAAGTGTCGTGTATCACGATACTGTTGTGTATGAAATGGATTTCGTGGCAAGAATCGCTTATGCAGCAGCTACAATCAAAGAAACTCCCGATGTGTTTGAATATGTTCGGCAATCAATGGTTCGTCAACGTCTGATGGTGCAAGTATCTGTTGTAACATTCAAGCTGTCGTACATCATTTGTATTCATGCCTAATAAATGTTTCAAATTAATCACACTTGTTTCTTTTCCCATCTTCTACCTCTGCTACCACTTACTCCTGACATTTCCGGGCATGGGTTCCTATGCAATTCTTAATCCTTACGATGTGCCCTACCTTTCCTAGAAGTTTGTCGCAACATTTACGGTACACCCTGTATAAACCATTTATATATGGAATTGTGTAATGATAATTTGATGAAAACTAGGGAAAAAAAGGAATATATAGGAACAAAAGGAATATATAAGGTTCTTTGTAAAATGGTATGTTTTCGTTACTGTTTTACTCTTTGATTATTAAAATATAAACTCTCATTCTTTTTGGCAACATAAACTAAGATAACTCTAACTAAGATTTAAGTGACTGATGCACTGGTTTCCAAAATTTAAGAACTCCAAATTTCAAACTGTTATTCTGTTCCACGATGAGACCAGGAACGAATAGCTGAAAGAACCAATTGTCGATTTCGACATGCATAACGGAAACCTTCTACAAGGTAATATTTAAAATTCTGACAAGAATTTCAGAAAGGATACAGAGATATCTAAATCTGTACTTTCTTACGAGGGTGCCTGCACAGAACTCTTAAATAGCTAGATGGGTTTATAACATTATATTAAATTACAATAGTTTATGATACTGATGTATGGGCTTCTCAAATGGACACGTGGTATAGGAATGCCTGCAAGCAGATATATGGGATTTCTAAACTCACCTCAACAGTAGACAACGGATTTCGCCTGTCATGTCGAAGGCACTGTGAAGAAATTCCCCATGGGCAGTGCAAATGCGGGCTTGTCTGTACACCGACAGTAGACAATGTTGTGCTTTTCTTCAAATCCACGGGAAATTTTGCCTCGACTGGTAGTCGTGGAATGGTACCTGCATAATAAACACTATATTAAGGATTCTGATTATCTTTAACAATACAATGAATATATGTAAATGCAGCAATGCTTTGAAAAGGTAAGATAAAATTGCAATAGTTTTTGAATTTTTTATTCCACAAAATGTGCAAAGTGTGGTATCACACAGTGGCCAGACTGAAAGTGTACGAGTCGCTTTCTTGCAGAGGCTTTTAAGTCTAGAGTTTTTAAGTCTCTTCTGGTTTTGACAGAAACTGTAAGTAAAAGAATTATGCTTGTTTATAAAATTAAACCTCACTTTTTTTGTCCTAATAAAAAAAGTTAAGTTATCTTGTAGACACATTAGGTATTTTTTCGAAGCAGGAGAGATAAAAAATGAGCAGCGCCTTCGCCGGGAATCAAACCACCAACCTCTGGAATACGCGCCCAGCATGCAGACCACAACACCACGAAAGCATGCTAAGAAGGTGGGAGAAATAACTTATAGTTTTTTCAAACATTTTTAAATACATTGCTTTCCAAAAGTTAAGTAACAAATATTTTTTTCCTACATAGCATTAAAAAGAGGAGAAGGACTGAATTACAGTTTACAGTAGAGTACTAATACTAATTGCGAAAGCATTACATAATTAAGGACATCACTAACATTTTTGAAGAGAAATTACTTAATTTGAAAGCACTGTAACTCGATAATGTTCATTTGATTAATCTTCTGAAACTGGGACAGTCATGATGTCATATGTTTGGATCGATCTTTTCAGTAAAGCCCATATGTAACAACAACATATTGAAACGTTTTGTCTGAAATATTCCATGTACAAAAGCTCAGAGAAATTGTTCACTTGATTCGCTTTGATGGCAAACAGTTGACTGGCTGAAAATAAACCTTGACAGAGAGAAACGGCAGGGCTGTTAAATGATGCAAGTCGCAGAATCATCAACAGATTATAGAATCAATTCCTTAGCAAAACTTCATTTTCAAGAATAGTACCACAACGCTCACTGTCTAAACCATTTCTGTTGTCGTTGTTGCTGATGTTCACTTGTCTGACATATAGTCAGCCCAATACCATGAAATTTCTCCTGACAAGGCGCGCATGATTACGCCTGCCTAAGAGGACACATACACCTTAAAACCCGTAAGATCTTTGAATATTTTACTATTGCAAGAATTGGGATAACTTATTTACTTTAAAAGCAATTACTTCCAACTCTTTACAGCTGACTACATAATATAGCTGCTTTCTGAAATAGTCATCAGAAAGTTTGTGTTGCCACACATATTTTTATAATTTAATCCGCTTTGCGACAAAAGTTTTCGTCATGTTTCCACCTTGCGCGCACAGTTTCAAACATTCTGTTGCATAATTTAATTCCATATTTGATAAATAGCTTTTATAACATTTAGAAACTACTATGAATCAAAAATCCTAAGAATTCCATGTTAAATTTTTATTTTATTTGGAGTTGAATTTATAAAATGTATTTTATTAAAAACAACTTGTAATGTTTTCGTGCATAAAATTTTTTAATATTAAAATATTCATCAGGTTTTTAATTCAGTTAAAAAATAGCACCCATATAAAGAATTCCATCCAATTTCAAGTATGTACCATCAGCCATTTTTTAAAATATCATGCGCGCAAGGTGGAAACATGACGAAAAATGTTGTCCCAAAGCGGATTAAATTACAAAAGTATTTGTGGCAACACAAACTTTCTGGTTATTAGTTCCCAAAGCAACTATATTATGTAGTCAGATGTAAAAGGTTGGAAGTAATTGCTTTTCAAATAAATGAAATATCCCAATTCTTGCAGCAAACGCGCATTCGAATATCATAAGGGGTTTAAGGTGTATGTGCCCCCTTAAGCACCTTACAGGTGACAGTGCCATTTAGCTTAGTTCCGGCCCCAATTTTGATGGACAGCACCCCGCGGAACGGGTCCGATAGTCTCCCACCCCTCTTCCCCTCCACCAACCTCTCGAAAGGACGTCTGGTTCGCCGCATATTTAGAATGCTTCCATGTCGTACGAACACTATACATTTACAAACATCCATGCCTTCTCCGGGATTCGAACCCGGGCCGTTCAGCTTGGCAGTCAGCGACGCTGACCGCTATACCGGTTGGGCGGCTAAACCCTTTCTGATGACTGTTTTCTTACCCTTTAATGCGGAACAGAAACCGCACTGCTCATTATAATTTTTTAGGGCCACAAAGACGATATTTTGTAGTTTCATTATTATATATTTTATTTGTGTTTATAAATCAACCTGAATAACCGGTTTATAATTTTAACCCTTACTATCTCTTCTCCTTTCCGTTTTCTCACCAGAACGCAAATCAGTTACAGAGTATTTACCCTCCGAGCGACTTTATCCGGTCATGACATTTCTTTGTCGCTTAATACATATTAGCTTATAACTTAAGATATTTTGCTTTCTTACTTATTTTAACAACGTAAATGTAAATTACGTTTATGAAAATAGAGGCTAAAATAAGTAAATATATGAATTGAGCTAATAAATGCTGCATAAATACTGGTCTTCACGACAGATCCCAAACCCCGTGCTGCTCAGAGGATTAAAGCGAGTCTTTTCGAGAACAGAACATTTTTCTGCTCCGTGGGTCCACGTTACAAATTTCGCCAGCTTTGATAAGATTGTATTTTTTCGGCTGCCTTATAAGATATTTTCTCCCTCCTTCCAGCATGCCTTCGTGGTGTAACGGTTAACACACTCCGCGCATATTCCAAAGGTCCAGGTTCGAGTCCCGGCGAGGGCATTGCTCATTTTTCATGGCTTCTCCTTCAAAAAAAAATGCTAATGACTCTACAGTGGCGCCCGAACTAAAAGGTGGTGGATGATGATTCTTCACCACCAGGATTCGGCAATTGGATCCCCTAATTCCCAGTCGCCATTTTAAAGGGGGAGTATGTAAGGCATTTTCTCCCTTCTTATTGCATGTTTTCGTGGTGCAATAGTAGCATACTCAGCCCGTATTTGACAGGTCGAGGTTCGACCCCGCGAGGGCACTGTTCGCGGTTCTTGCTTAAAAATAGCAATGCCTGCTCTACAGCCTTATTGCTGCCGACATTTTAATTGTTACGGCAGCGAGAAGTTTTGATCGAAATTCGCGTCAAATCAACTGTATAGTCTTTGACTACCAGATCAATTTAATTTCAATTTGACTGGTTGGTACTTTATGTTACATCACCAGAAGTGATGACTGAATCTGTCAAGCAACGAGATTCCAGTATTTTAATGTTCTGATTTAATAGAATTGCTTTAAATCTTTTCAAGACTCTGTTGTTACTTCGGACCAAACGATAATTCACTTCAAGTCCGTTAGGAGCTTGATACTAGTTTTTTCTGCCAAAGAAAGTCAGACTCTATAAATTGTTAAAATATACACAAGGACTTCATAAATATACGCAAGGGCTTTTATGTGTATTTCGCTGAACGTATATTCAAGATACGCCGGTGAAAGTATTAGTATGGAGAAATGGTTTATTATGGGGTGGTTAAAATCGAGCAGCTGTGTATTAAAATGCATTTTGATTTGAAAAAAGAAATAAATATTTTCATGAAGCACACAAAATAAAACCTTAGACAAGATATATAATGATGTACGAATAAAGCAGATTTAACATTTCTTGTTGATTTAACAGGTCATTTCAATAGAGAATTAGAATAATAGATTTAAAATAAGAATAATATCTTTGTTTAGAAGCACATAAGCTTTCACCGGTTGAAAATTAATAAGCCTAAAAAAGGACCCACCAACAATCCATAATGAAGACAGCTTCTAAATCTTTGCAAATATCTGACGCAGACCATTTTCGTCATACCTGCATCATTCCAAATCCATTAATGTTTTTCAATGTGCCGATAACTTTACGCAGGAAAACGTGGGTATTGCCATTCGAAAATTTTGAAATTTGTTCACTGTAACGGTAACCGTGAGCCCTATTTTTTTAAAGCATCACAATCTCGAACACATATATTGCGATAACAATATCTGAAATTTCATATTTCATTTCCCTTGACTGTACCTGAAAAGTTTCTTTATCCAGTTTCTTAGTGACCATACATATCCAATAAGGAAAAACATATTAAATTATTTTCATATTGCTCTAACTTATGCAACGTTTTTGCTGCACTTCATTTAAACTTATATCCTCGAAATATTTTAACTTCATTAACCGATTCTTCGAGGCAAGTTCAAAATGACATCAAAAATTGCAAATTTTTTCCAGCATTGAGTTATTTTTCAAACTCTCCAATATATAAATCGTTTAAAAATAAGAGAAATTAGCAGTCATACCTTGAGGTATTTCTATCAATTAAAAGTAATCTCACAACACTAACTGAAATGGTACACCTTTCATTTAGCTACACGTCTGCCACTTGGGTGACAAACAATTACTTATCCTATAATGGAAGTAACGTGATAAAGTTGTTAGGAGTAAAGGAAACAGGATTATTTGTGCAATTTAATCTCACATCCCCAAATAGATTTGGGAAAAAGGACGAGTTAGCACTTTTCGTAATAACGATATATTTGAAGATAAATGTTTGGCCGTTCATTATCTTCTTCGAAGTAGAAATCCTTTTGAAAGGATTTAAGGATTTAATATTAGAATGATGAAATAAACGTGATAATTAGTGTAACCTGTGTAAAGTAATACATTTACTTTTGTATATATATATATATATACATATAAATTTACTTTTGTTTAGTACAAATATAGCTATCTTGATATATATATATATATGATGTACCAGCTTTTGTCGTAGCTTAAATTATCAGACGATAAGTTTAAAAAACAGGATCCATTTATTATTATTCAGGAGATATAGCAGTTACAAAATCAGATAGCCGGAGTTAATAAAAAGAATTACTAATAAGTTTTTGTATGAAGTTTACTGCATCGTGACATTTAAGAAAAAGGCCCCGATATTCCTTTGCGAGTCCTTTTATAGCCTCTGGAAAGGCGGAACTTCCAAGAATGACG